TCCCCACGGCCGGGGCCGCGCGTGGGGCTGGGAGGGACGGCCGAGAGACAATGGCCCGCCCGGCGCGGCGTGGCCGTCGGGGGGTCCGCGCCCCCTCCGGGACCCGCGTCCCGCAAGTGAGGGAAGGTGTTCGGTTTCACGCCCAAACTTAGAACGCCCCGCAAACTCCCGTGGGAAGTTCGTGCGGGGCGGCGGGAGGCGGAACCGCACGCTGGAGGGCGCGGCCCCGAGCGCCTCAGTTTAGCCCCGACGCGAGCGGGCGCACGGGGAAGGGCGCCCCCGCCGCGGACCCTCGGAGCACGGGAAACGCATTCTTGGGCGGGGAGAGTGGGGGTGGGGACAGCAGGCGGGGATTTTTTCCCAAAAGGTTTGCTTCCTGAAGTGAGCCGAAGCCTTGGGGGCCCCCATCTGGGACCCCCAGTGGGTGCTGGTCCGCATTCGGGCAGTAGAAACTTCTTAACTTTTTATTGTTTAGTGGGGGGGGGTTTCTCCCCAGACAGAAGGTTTGTGTCCTTGAGCCTTAGTTTCTCTTTCTGAGAAACAGGCATTCCTGAGCACGCGTTAGATTAAGGGGAGCCAGCCTGGGGCCCCTGGTTGTGGAGTACCATGTGTACCACAGGATCCCGTGGCCGGTTTCCTGGTTTGAGGATGGGTTGGAGCCATTAAGCTGTATGTTTTAAGAGGCCTAGGTCTGATTTAGTTCAGGTTGATTCAATTATGTCTTCATCGCTTTTGAGTTGGTTGAATAACTTGACATGAGATTAAGGCCAACAAAAGAAGAGGCAGGGTAGCCACAGCTGCTTGCCAGGCCTGGAGACTTAGGTAGGGGCCTCAGGGGGCCTTTCACCTCGCTTTGTAAGTGAAGGACGTCCAGAGCCTTCTTCTTGACTACTTTCCCCCAAGTGGATCGACTGCCTTGATCGGTACCAAATCAGATTTCAGACGCCTAATTTTTGCTTCGAGAAGGATGAACAACAGGTCTAGGTCCCCCCCCCCCCAAAGCTGTTTTCTGTAGTGACAAGTGCAGAGAACTAACCTAATTGCCGTCTGAAAAATAGAACCGTCAGACCACTAGTCTGTGCTTACTTAGTTAATGTACCGAGAACTTTTTAAGGTGTGTCCTTAATGATAGATGACTTTTTTTTCTTCCCGAGAAATCCTATTTATTTTAGATACTTTTTTTTAGATTTTTGGGGTCCAACGGTGAAGTTTTGCTTTTTGGTTATTTAGATTTTCACTTTGAATCCTGATCTTGTATTGGGAGTCACCCTCAAGGCCCCCTACCCATCCTGCCACTTTGCCAGTTATGTAAGTATAAAATCCAAGAGACCTCTAAAAAGATTCTGCCCTCCTATGCATACAGAAGGAAGTGGAGGGGAAGCATGCATTTCTTTAGTTTCCAGCTTTTAGTCCTTTTACTTCTCAGCCTCCTCTCCCACTCTGCAGTCTGATCTCGTCTTTTTCAGTGAAATAATTCGTGAGATTGAAGTTTAGTAATTGTCTTGGCTTCGTATTATTCCCTTTCACTTCTTACTTTAAAAAAGGAACTAAGATACCACTTAGAAAAATTTTCCCCTTTATGCTGAAGAATCTATTTTAATAATAGCTCTCTTTCTTTTCCCCCAGGTGGTAGGGGAGGAAGAGGGGGAGAGAAAGTTCAGACTCTGGCTTTGGGGGGATTGTTTGCATTTGTTTTGTAATCCTCCAATTTTGGCAGAGGAACTTGGGGGTGACTAGGCGCCCCTAATCCTTTTCCAGTGAGCTTGTTTTAGAGGAAATTTGAAAATAAGACTTAATCATCGAGTCTCTTCCAAACTGATGAAATAATTAAGTCACACAATGGCCCTCGATGACTCAGTCTATCTCCTCCTGGCAGATAAGTGCTAATCACCTTTTCTCTCTCTTAACATCACTTTAGTATGAAATGATGTTTTGCCACAGCAGGGCTGCCATCCTCCGTCTAGGAGCCCTCTTAATTCTGAACTGCCTGATTAGAGCCTCGGGGGTTCCGAAAGATGAGCTCTTTCCACTTTATTAAATGACATTCTTTTTTCTCAGTTGTTCTAAACATGATACTGGTTGATAAGAACTTTGAAGTAGTTTTAATGACCCTTGACTGCCTTAAAAACAGAACTTCATGAAGGATCTGCTCTCTGACTGCTGGGAAAACATGGCTGGGGCCTTAAAAATACTGTGTAGGAAGCTGTGTTTCCAATCGCTCAGAAAACAGTTTGAGATTGTCCTATCTCATACTGTGTGGCTTCCATTGTGGATTTTTGAGGTCACTGGCTATAATTTTTAAGTGGCTGGTTCCTGATTTCCCATTTCAGTTTAATCCCGTGGCAGTATGTGTAATTAATAATTTGGGAAGTTGAAGCTGAGTTATCAAGAAGTGGATTTCCCAGCTTTCGAATTAAAAGGAACAACACGAGGCAGTTGGGGTAAACTGTCTGGTATTGTAGTGTCAAAATGTGCCATTTTAAGTTGAATGATCACAGCTGAGCGTATGGAATAGTTTTTAATTCACCAGGGTTATTAAAAAATAACCTGGAAGATGTGTGTGGAACAGCTACCAAAATTGAATTAAAAGATTCCAGTCCTATTAAATATTCTGAACCAGGAAGGGCTTAGCTACAAGGCATGTAAATTGAAGCCGTGACAGGAGGCGCCTCAGTTCACACACCTCAGCTCCAGGTTTCGCAGGGGGAGCGTGTTAACTAGTTTAAATGCATGTGGAAGAAAGTGGATTATTACACAAAGACTTGGGGAAGTGTCTTCCCTCTGCTCTGTGGGGAAGTGTGGTTGAATATCACTTGATGGCCTTGTTGTGGGGGCACTGTGAAAGTGCTGGAAAGCTGGCCTTTCAGTTAGGTGATCTGGATTAAGGTTCTTGGCCAGCCAGTAGTATAGACAGACAGATTTGCAATGGTATGTGGGCCAAAGGGTTTTGAATTCAGACCACGAGGGCAGATAGCAATCTTGCCTTTAAGGAAGTTGTATGTGTGTGTAGGGAGTGGGGGCACACACCACCATTTTCTCCTAAAAATCTTTATCTCCTCATGAGTGAGTTCAATTCCTGGACATGTCTAGCTTCCAAATAATTGGGGGAGCCCCTGTTAGCCAGCTGCTACCACAGATTTCCCTTTTATGTTGCACTCCCTAGAGAACTTTACATGTGAACGTTTGTTGACTGCAACCTCTGAAGAGCCATTGCTTCCTGCCCAGGCTATCAACATTATTGAGTTACTGGAAATTTGGGGCCAGTTTGGTAATTTTATGCTAAAGTTGAGAAATATAATTACTAACCCTGAAAAGACAGCTGAGCAGAGGTGAGCAAGGGGATGAGTTGACCCTTGGGATTTGTTCTTCAGCTTTTCCAAGGTTTTTTT